TAGTGCTTTGGTTAGGAAGGCCGGCAAAATTGAATTCTGATAAGACATTGTTTGATTTGAGAGTTTTGGTTAATCTCCTGTTAATTATACCAGTGAATACTTTCCTGACAGAATCAATGAGGGAGATGGGCCTTGTGTCATTGAGTTTGTGACTCCAAATAAGTTTTTTAGGAATAAGAGTAATGGTTGTTTGCTTCCATGAAGCTGGGATAACGGAGGATGATATAATCTGGTTGAAGATATGTGATAAACACGTCACCGTTTTTCTTCCCATTAATTTAATGATGTCGTAGCTGACCCCGGATTTTCCAGGGGTAAATATAAGAAAATTAATTGTTCAAAAATTCTTATATTCTTATTTTAATAATATTTCAAATGAATTAATTTTTTTATATCTATATTTGAACATTTATATATTTTATTAAATACTTATAAAATATATATTATTAAATTTCATCTTTTTTTAACAAATTATATAAAATATTTTTAATAAAAAATATAATTTGGCTAAAAAATCAAAACTATGACAAATAAATTTATTGTTTTATATTATTTATATTGAATAGATTAAAATTAAAATTAAAATTCTTGAAAACTTTAAAAATTTTACAAATAAAAATTTTTGTTCAATTTTAGATTTTTTGGATAATATTATATCTTTAATATTAAATATCATATAAATTTATTCAATATAATTATTTTAAATATTATTATAAAACAATATTTTAATTATTGATATTTATAAAGAGATACAATAAAAAAATTATAATAAAATAATATTGATTTTTTTATTAAATATTTTTAAATAGAATAAATAGCAATATTTAATAATAGAATGTTTTTTAAATATCTTAATTAATTGATAAATATTTTATAAATGATTTTTATAGTTTTATTTATAGATATACTACTCAAAATTAATAAATTCAAAAATATTTTGATAATATGATATATTTATAAATAATGAAAAATATAAAAATACAATTATTATAAATTTTATAAAATCAAAAAAATATTCATTTTTTAAATATTAATTAAATTCTTTAACTATTTCAATTAGTATTTTTCTTTTATATTTTTTTAAAAATTTTTATTAAAAATAAAATGAATTTAAAATTGAAAAAATAAAAATAAAACTAAAATTTACATTTTTTTAATTTGAAAAAAATTTTATAAAAGAAATTCTTTCATTAATATATCTGTAACAATTTGAGTTTTTAATCTGCCACATAACTTTGGATATATGCCATGATTGCTGGGGATGCCAATTATCTTAAAACATATAGGTTTTACAAGAAGTAAATAGTATTACTAATAGCATTTATTTTAAAATTACTATATATAATTAACAAAAGATTATGGATATATTTATTTAATACATAAGAAGTTTTATTTGCTATTTCTTTTTCATTTCATTTATTATATTTATATTTATTATAATATTATACATATGTTTTTCAAAAGATTAAGCTTTATATAGATATAAATATAATATTTTATATATTTTTATTTTATTTATTTATTTGAAAAAGGTTATAATGTTGGAAATGTATTTAAGAATATCCTTTTGACCTTGAAATAAAATAATTAATAATTTTTATAACTATAAAAATTATTCTGTTCACATTTAAAAGTCTTTAATAAAAGAATTTTATTCTTGACTTTTATAATATTATATTATTCAAATTTTAATAAAAAAAAACTTTATGATTTGAAATTTTATAATAATATAAATTTGAATATAAAAATTTAAATATATTAATATACATATTATTCTATATATTTTAATAATTTATTGAATTTAAATTGTAATTATTATTTTTAATATTATAAATTATCAATTAAAGAATTATTAAAATTTTTTAATTTATATTTAAATTCAAAAGAAAATAATTATAATAATATTAATATAGATATTAATAATATTATTGATAGTGATAAAATAATTAATAATGAAATATTTGATAATATTAATTCAAATAAAAATATTCTTAATAATGAATTTATAATAGCACTTAATAATTTTATTGTATTTTTATCATTAAATGAAAATTCAATCTTATCTGGATTTAGAAAACTTTCTATTGATCTTTTAGAAAATATAAATTAAAATAATAAAGAATTTTTTTATTCTTCTAATAAAAGAAAAAGAAATTCTTATTTTATCAATTCAATTAAAAAGAAATAATTTATTTTAAACTTTATTATTTATAAATTTTTTTATATAATATGCAATACATTAAAATCATTAAATATTTTTGTTAAAATTATATATATTATAATAAATTTTTAAAATAAAGATATTAATTATTTATAAAGACTACGTGAAAAAATAAATTTCGGAAATTTCACTCCAAATGCGCCATGTGCATATCTGTACGAGTGGCGCAAGGGTGACGCAAGGGGATGCATTTCATGTGACCGAAAATAGGCTGTCTACGCCACATATCTAAATCATCTAACAGTTTATTTATTATCATAAAATAAAAATGTTTATACGAAGCATGCAATCCCCAATGTGTTGTCCGTTATCCGGACTTATCTTTTTCAAACTCTAGAGAAGAAGGTTGAAAGTTTATATTGCCTGCCTTTTGCAGTATTAATAAATTTCTCGGAAATCTGTACGAAAGAGTGGTTATAAGTTTGTAAGTCCAGAAGGTGGTTCATTGGATTGCATTGTCACAAATGAAGTATTCATACCTTAATTGCGTGTTTGGAGCTTTCGACTAAAATAAAGAATATTGATCAACATATCGATATGATCGTCATCTTATCAAAACAACTGATTGATCAACAAAAATCATTTTTTTTCACCGCTATTATCAAGGCAAGTTGAAATCAGATTACTTCTGGCGACCCACAATATCTGACACCCGTATGGCAGAGCGAGATTACTATCTAGTTAATTCCTGCGGTTGTTGTTTAGAGTAAGGCGTAGGCTATCCTCTTTGACGCATCGTTCATTCGCCCAAATGAACTTTCTCATTGTAGTTCACGCCTGCGTTCTTGCCTCTAGTATATTGGATGTAGTGCTTCCTACACCTGCAGAGCGAAGCATAGCAATTGCGTTATGTACCTCTCTGTGGCGGATGCTTGGTAGAGATCTGGGGGGCTACCCTCTTTGACGTATTGTTTACCCACTGAGGCAAACTTTCTCATAGTAGTTTATGCCTTCCATTCTCTAACCAGAAAGCATTGCATCAAGCCAGTATCTTCATATCATTCTTGCATGTTTTTGACTTTTTGCATTTTTTCGTGCATCTAATTAGTTTTATTTTTATAAGGATGGATTTCGAGAATCAAATTATAGATTACTTTCGATTGAATGATTATAACGGATGGAGTATATTTGAAGTCCTGCGCTACATATCAAATAATATTAATTTTACAAGTGAAAATATGAAGGATATTAGTGATTCCTTGAGAAGACAATTAGGAATTTTATCTGATCACAAAAGTCTTCGCGTGGCAGCAAGAAACAAGGCTATCAAACTTCTTGAAAACCTGCAGGAGACTCTCATAAAACGAAGAGATATTTTGAGTTTCATTGAAAGTCAAGATCTAAAATTTGCTGAGGTTGGTAACATTGATCTATTGTGTGTACTTTATGATTAAAGATTAATTTTTTATATATTATCATAGAATCGATATAAAATAAATGTTGAATTAGGTGTCGTTACTGATAAAACGGCCATGACAAGAAAGATTACCGAAAAATTTGCAAGAGTAGGTATTAATTATTTAATAAATTCCTGGAAAATAAACCAATCGGATAATTTTATTGAAATCTCTTGATATACTCTAGTCTTTGAATAACGATCATGACATCAGGGGCTCTGAAAATCAAGATTCCAGTACAAAAACACAGACTACTGTTAATAATGAACAAGAAGAAAACAAACAGGAAGAAAATAAACAGGAAGAAAACGAAGGTGAAGATGTAATTGCCGATGAAAATAGTGTTAGTAAAATTCATTTCCGGTAATATTTTCCGTTGGTATTTTAGGAAAAATAATAATTTTTCTATAGACGATATGTGTTAAGGATATCCTCGAAGACTCGATTCAAGTTTCATCTGTCATAAAGGAAGTTACAAAAATCTTTTTAGGTAAATTCCCCAAGACATCTATAATGGATCTACGCCCAAAATCAAAATTTTCATTATTTCTGGATTTGGAACTTCAAAAAATCCATTTTGCACGAAGTTTTTGATGAAATTGACAACTATATTACTGATGATATCCACGAATATCTTACGTCGTTTTTCAATCAAGATTTCACTGCGCAGGGCTGGAATAATGCCATCAACAATATAGACTTCAATAGATGTGATTCAGAACACTTGAGGAATATTAAAAAATTAATACAGGAAACTTTACCTAAATTGTAAGGACAAGAGAGAACTTACGCAATTTATTATAGTAATATTTGTCCAATTTATTATCTATTTTTTATTCGTTTTAGTTTAAAAGCGTTTTCATTGGAGGATATTAATCCATTGAGGGATATTACAATCCTGGAGAAACCGCATCTTAACCAGTTTGTGCACCCTATAATTGACTCGGCATTGTGGAATTTTGCCAAGGTTAATTACATGTAGTAAGTAGCTTTGAACTTATGTTTATCTACATAAATTATAGTATGAATAAAATGCTTTCATATTATATAGTGGTGAAATACCTCTGAAAGGTCTTGGAACTAGAATACGGGCCGATGGAGTAGGATTTCTCAATGACGTAGTAAACTACCCTATAGTTTGTGGTGAGGGAGCTAGACCGGGTGCACCACAGAAAAAAAGCGTGGATGATGATATCAAGAATGCAAGTAGCATGGCAACATTATATAATAATATCGTCATAGAAGAATCTGATGCACGCCGACAACTTTTTAAAGACTTAAGAGTTGATGGTTTAACTGCATTCAAAACCGAATTGTCACTAACAATGATGGATTTTAGAAGTATGCATTACATAAATTTGTATTAAAACGTTTCATAAAATGAGAAAGTTAATCATTCGATTCCAGGTGTACATAGGTTATTCGAGGTTGATCATTTCTGCCTACCGAAAAACTGGGTTGATATGCCAAACTTTGTGTGGTTATATGAGCAGAGATTTTTTTCCCGAAATAAATGACATGGGGGTGTTCTCCTTACCTCATGTATGCAGCACTTGTGCAGACAAATTTGTAGTGAAATTTCCGGATCATGAGAACTCCTATATAAATGCAAACATGTGACTTTATCGCCGATCGTCGCGTAGTCAAATTTTGTGAAAATCGCGAAATTATAAAAATCGCCGTGAACTTTATTAATGTTTCATGGAACTGACATTACTTCAATATAATGTAAGTTATTATTACGCCTACATAAAAAACTAATGTTAATTAATAAAAATTTTAAATTTTATAAAATAATATTAAAAATAAAAATAGTTTTATTAATATAAAAGATTTTTTTTAAAAAAAGTATATTTTTATTTAAATATTTGTTTTATTTTATTAAATAAATATATATTCTTATAAAGTTAACTATTGCTTAAAATTATTTTATAAAAATAAGTATAAATATTAATAGTTTATAATATTAACTATTTTTTTTTAATTGGATTTGTAAGATATGAATTTCTTTTTCTTTTGAATGAGATGATTCTTCATTATCTTCTAAAAAATCAATAAAAAATCTTCTAAAATCAGATAATGTTGAATCTTCATTTGTTGATAAAATAAAATTATCAATAGCTACTTGTAATTCATTACTAATACTATTTTCATCTAAATTAATATCATTAAATATTTCATCATTATTCATATCTTCCATATCAATAATATTATCATCTATTTTATCATTGTTTTCATTGTTTTCATAATTATTTTCTTCTGAAGCTAATCAAGAATTAAAGAATTAATTAATTCTTCAATTGATATTTTATAATATTGAAAACAATAAATACAATTTAAATCTAATAAATCCTTAAAACATGAAAAATGATAAGCATGTCCACATATTAAAACTTTTATATTTGGATTCTTATCATTACAAGATTCTAAATCACAAGGTTTTTCTTTATTTGGAATTTGATTGGTATGATATGCTGATGGAAGAATTCCTTTTGTAAAGCTTTTTTCAATTGATGGAATATAAACTTTTGTTTGTTTACCATTTCCTTCAATTTTAAATTCATTTTGTTTAAAATAAAAGTTTTTAAAAAATTTTAAAAGAAAAATACTTGTTGAAATAGATAAAGAATCTAATTGAGGTTTGGAAAATGGATATTTTTTTGATTTTATAAAATCTTCAATAAATTTATTTTCATGTTTTTCATTATCTATAAAAATAGCATATTGTCTTAAAGTTTTTGGAGTTATTAATTTTGAAGTAGTATTTCTACAAATAATACTATGAAAGTTTTTTACTGGATATTCATCAATTATATTAAGATGTTTAAAAAATATTTCAATTATTGGATGTTTTTGCTCATTCCATTGAAGAATATCTGATAAAAAAACCAACATTATTTTATCATAATTTTTTCAATTACATCTTTTCATAAACATCCATAATTGAAATATTGTTTCATAATAATATTCAAAATAATTATTTCTAAATAAATTTGTATATATATCCAAAGTTGAAGGTATAATATTATCCAAAAGATTTAAAATTAAACAAAATCCTTTATTTTTAAAATCTTTAAAAATTTTAAGTGATTTAATTTTAAGCTATTCAATATAAGTAATATAAAGTAATAAATTTATTTGTCATGGTTTTGGTTTTTTTGCCAAATTGTGTTTTTTATTAAAAACACTTTTATATAATTTATTAAAAAATGGATTATATATGTTTCACAAGTATTTAATAAAATATGTAAAGGTTCAAGTATAGAAATAAAATAATTAATTTTATTTAAAATATTAAAATCTGGATTTAAAAATTTTTGAACAATTAATTTTCTTATATTTAATTGTCCAGAAAAATCTATTGAAACAAGTATAATATTATTTTTTAAATATTATTTAATTTCTGAAATTTCTAATAAATTTCTAATTATTTTTAAATAATTATTAATATTTTTTAAATCAGAAAATATAAAATCTACAAGTCTTGTATTTTTAAAATTTCTTATATATTGATTTTCATAAGTTTCATCATATATATGAATAGATAAAAATTCCATTAAATTTTCAACAGAAAATGTTGAAATATCAGGAATATTATTCCATTCCAATTTATGATTATTATAACTAATTAAATTATTTTTCATTTTATTATATAATATATCTTGAAGATAATCAGTTTTTATTAAACCAGATTCATAAAGATAAGAATTATTTGATGAAATAAATGATATATTTGAAATATTAAATAGAATATTAATGAGTGTTGTAGCCATATAACAAATTTTATTATTAGAAGTTATAGTAGGAAGTTTGATGACAATCATGATAGACATTGTGATAGAATAGATATGGCCTTTCTACCAGATATGATTGATCAATCTGACCAACCTGATCAACCTGACCAACCT